CTGCAAATCCCTTCGTTTTCCTTAGGCATGACTCCCCCTGCACCCCGAGGCCAGTCGGACGGGCGGTCTGGGCGTTTCGCTCGAACCTTCCTTACCATTCATGAGCCTCCAGCTTGCGAGCTGGCAGCAGTTTCGCAGATGGAGGGCGGGCCGCTTCCCAAGTGTGTGGCTCTCGCCTTGGCGCCGCGCACATTCGTGTCAAAACTAGACAAGTGTTTTTTGGATTGAGGGCGGTTCGTTTTCAAAGTGTGGCTCTCGCTTTAGCGCTGCGCAAACTGGTTCTCAACACTTGCAAGAGTTTCACGGGCTGAGGGCGGTTCGTTTCAAAACAAATGTGGTTCTCGCTTGAGCGCCGCGCCCATCCGTTGTTCGTATAAATATAATGAAACACGTAAGAGCTTGGCGGTCTGATAACGATACGACTGCAAAATGTGGCTCTCGCCTTAGCCCGCGTACAAGTGTTCAACCAAATCTTGCACGGGCTTTGCAGATTGAGGGCGGTTCGTTTACAACATGTCGCTCTCGCCTGAGTGCCGCGCACATTCGCTTCGTCGGATTATCATGGTTAGCGTCCCGGAAACAGTGTTTGGAAGTCGTGAGAATTGTGTTTTGGCATGCTTCAGGGGCACTTCCCTCACTGGAAATGAGTCCTTGTAGGGGCCTGTGGAGAGGGAGCTTCGAGGGAGGGTACATTCCAACATCGTTAATGAATCTGGTGTTTGCACTGGTCTCTCCTCCTCCTCCTCCTCCTCCTAATCCTCCTCCTCCTCCTCTTCCTCCTAATCTCCTCCTCCTCCTCCTAATCCTCCCTCTCACCCCTCCCTTCCCCTCGCTCCTCCGCAACCGCCATTCCCCTTCCCGCGTCTTCCTCTCTGTCCTCCTCCCCCCTTCCACCAGTACGTGCTCCTTCCCATTCCTCTTGCCGTTATGTGCCGAGTTGCAGCGCTGCAAGGATGTACTGATCGGCGACAACATGTCAACTGTCGGTAGGAGCGTTCGAAGAAGACCACATACGTTCAGCTGAGGATGAATCGAACACGTCCTAACCTCGAAGGTCGCTTTCGGCGGGGGATTTCACCCTGAACGCTCTGACAGTCCTCCCTTCCCCTCCTCTACCTCGGTTCACATCTGCTCCCCTCATCGGCCTTCTTCCCCCCCCTCCTCCCGCTTCTCCCCTCCTCCCTCCTGCCCCCCTCCCTCCTCCTCACTCTTCTGCTGCTGAAGCCTGTCCTTCATAGCCTGATGGCCCCGCAAGGGGGCCAGCAGATGAAGCCCTTGGGAGTTCAGCCTCTGGCGCCAGGCGAACGCATTGCGCATGCCCTGGCGTCGTGCATCCCTCTCCTCCACAAGTGCTCTCGAGTGCCACAGGGCTCGGGGAGCTTCTTTTGAGGGGTGGGGGTGCCAGGTGGCCAGGGTTCCCCCAGTCGGGTCTCCCCACATATCCCACGTCTCCCTCCCCCTCCCTCGCCCTCCCCCCTCCGGTCCTCCGCCGCCCCGCCCCTTTCTGCCGTCCTCTCCTCCTCCCCCTCCCCCTCCTCCTCCTGCTCCTCGTCCTCCTCCTCCTGCTCCTCCTGCTCCTCCTGCTCCTCCTCCTCCTCTCCTCCTCTCCACATCCTCTCCTCCTCCTCTCCCTCGGCTCTCTCCTCCTCCGCCTTCTCCTCTTCTCCTCCTCCTCTCCTCCTCCTCCGCCTCCTCATGCTCCTCCTCCTCCTCCTCCTCTCCTCCTCCTCTCATCCTCCTCCTCCTCCTCCCTCCCCCTCTCCTCCTCCTCCTCCTTCTCCTCCTCTTCCTCCTCCTCCTCGTCCCCACATATCATCTCCTCCTCCTCCTCCTCCTCCTCCTACTCTACTCCTCCTCCTCCCCCTCCTCCTCCTCCTCCTCCTCTTCCTCCTCCTCCTCCTCCTCCTCCTCCTCCTCCTCCTCCTCCTGCCCGCCCTCTTTTCGGAGAAGCGGGTCCTCCTCCTCCTCCTCTTCCTCCTCCTCCTCCTCCTCCTCCTCCTCCTCCTCCTCCTCCTGCCCGCCCTCTTTTCGGAGAAGCGGGTCAGTCCCGCGCTCCTCCTTCGCCTCCGCACCGGGCTCCCGCCGGCGCATCGAGGAGATCTCGAAGCGCCTGGCATCGAGGAGGTTTCGAAGCGCCCGAGGTCCGCGCGGATTTCTCAGATCTCACCGAGCGCGTTCCACTACTCGCAAAGTGCCTACTCGCAAACGTCCGAACAAAAACATGTCTGCTTCGATGTAATTTCTCGTAGATCCCCCCGTCGGATGCAGGTCATTTGCGAGCAGTCACTTTGCGAATCGTGGAAAGCGCTCGTCTAAGGTTTGCGCTGGACCCCCCGCCAGGGGCTGCGCCGTAGGCGCCGCCAGCGGGCTCCAGCGCCGATTCGAGACGTCCGCGCGGACCTCCGAAAGTTTGTGCTCATGCCGATCTCTGTTCCTCTATGCACGGGGGCTGGTCCCGGGCCCAGGGGAAAGCGACCCCAGGCTGAGGAGCCGACATTGAGGAAGTGGTGGAGAGACCCAGGGGGCCCTCGCGCCGAAAGCGCCAGATGCGCCGCCTCCTCTCGCAGGAGGCTGGTCGGCATCCACATCAAATCTCGGAGGTCCGCTCAGATATCTTGGGTCGGCGTTGGGCACCACCCAAGAGGTCTGCGCGGACTTCCCGAAGTTTATGCTGCCTCTGTTCTCCCTCCCCATCCCCATATCCCCCCTTCCCCCTCCTGCCTCTCTCCCCCCCCTGGCTGCACGCCCCAGCGGGGGCCTCGTTGCCGCAGGACGTATCCCTGCTGCTGAAGCCCATCTCGAGGACTGGCTCGGGTGGCCCCCTCATGGTCCAGGCCCTTGACCCGGAGGGTGGATGGAGGAAGGGAAGGAGACAGAAAGGAGAAGAGGGAGGGGGGAGAGGGAGGGAGGGAGGGAGGGAGGGGGGAGGGAGGGAGGGAGGGAGGGAGGGAGGGAGGGAGGGAGGAGGGAGGGAGGGAGGAGGAGAGGAGGAGTAGGGGAGGAGGAGGAGGAGGAGGAGGAGGAGGAGGAGGAGGAGGAGGAGGAGCGAAGGTCGGACGCAAGGGGGGATTGACCAAGGGGGAGTGCGAAGTCTGCTGCGGGCGTGCAGCTGGTTTAGTCCCCGCCGCCGTGCGTTTCTCCCGATATCCTGGCGCCTCTGGCGCTGGGAGGCGCCAGGGGAAAACCAGCTACACGGGAGCCCATTCGCAACCTCCCCTCTGCCATTCCCCCCCCCTCTCGTCCAGCCCGACACGAGGAGGGTGCGGCGGGGCCGCGCTTCGATCCGCAGCGATGCCCAGCCCTGAGATCCGACGCGGCGGAGCAGCTGCAGCATCGCACGACATCACGACTGGAGCCTTGGACCCCATCTTTCTGCTTCATTTTTCGGGCCGGATCGATCTGTGGGGGTCTAGAGTTAAGTCGTGCCTGTCCCTCTACAGGAGGACCATTCAAAAAGAGTCAAGACATGGTCTGGGAACCCTTTTTTGAGCATTTCTTGATGATTTTCTTTTTAAGCGTTTTTGGCAATTTTCAAGTCGTCCTCGGAAATCGGCCTGCAGGGGACAGGCCCGGCCGAAGTCTAGAGGCCCGAAGCCGGGCGAGCACGCCCGTGCCCGTGGTGGCAAGAAAGCTGCAGCATCCGGAGCTCGGGGAGGGGCGTTCGCTCTCTCCCCGAGGCGACGGGGGGCCCCCGACTCCCTTCGGGGGGGGAGGAGCGGAGCGGGTAGGGCGGTGGATCAAACGTGGGGCCCTGGGGGCTGGAGGCCTGATCTTAAGTCGGGCGTGTTTCTCTACGGGAGGAGTATCCAAAAACAGTGAACAAACAGCCTGGGGACGATTTGTTGACCTGTGTTTTTTTCTCACACACATATTCCTCTTCCTCTATTTTTATAAGCCCGGGCGGAGGGAAAACCCGTCCCCCCCCCTCCCAAAACCGGACTCCCGGGACCTGGGGCTTTGGGGCCCTCCGGACGGGCCTCGAAGCGGCCACTGGGCCTCGCAAGGCGTCTTGCCAAGCCTTCCCAGCACATTTGAGGCGATCAGGGGGGTCATCGGAGACGTCCCAGAGACCCCCAAGACAGCACAAGAGCGCTCCAGGAGTGACCGACGTGACCTCAAGATGGCCCAAGAGGCCTCCAGGGCGGCCCCAAAGAGGCCTCCAAGAGCACTCCCAAGAAGGCCCCCCGAGGCAAAAATCATTGATTTTCTGTGGGTTTTTGGTGAATTTAGGGGTTCTCCTTTTCGGCTTCCCGACGCTCTAAGACGGCGGTCTTCTGGGCGTCCGAAGCCGCCTGGGAGGCTCCCAAATCGCCCCACGACCATCCGAAAGGGCTTCCAGGTAGTCCAAGAGAGTCCCAAAACGGCACAACACGGGTCCAAGATGGCCCTCAGAGAGCCCCATGGCGGCCCAAGATGGCCCAAAGACACCTTCCGAAGAATTCCAAATCGTGATTCGGTCGTTCAGGGAGACGGCGGTTGGAGGCAGGGTGGCCCGAGGAAGCCCCCGGAGGCCCCCAGAATACGCCCAGGAGGCCTCCAGAAGTCCTTACGAAAGCCCGGAAGAACTTTTGTGAGGCCCCTAGAGGTTCTCCAAGGAGGAGCCTCCGCAAAAAAGAGCTGAGGAGGATGGGGAGAATGCGCAGGGTATGGCGAAAATAAGGAACAATAAGCATGGAGGAATAATAACGAATAACATCATTACAGCGGCGATGCCGGAAAAGGCAACCAGGAGTTATCGCTAAATTGTCGGCTTGACCTTCCTGCCATTCCGCCTGCATGCCAAACTTCAAGGACCAAGGTGCATGGCGCGAAGCGCCACTGCAGTCTTGTATATATATATATATATAAAAGAGGAATTAAGCCTATTTGTCATTTTTCGCCCAAAGCTCCCCTGTAGGGGGACGGGCCCGACCCAACGATAGTTGCGTCTTGTGCGCTTGGGTTTGGCCCCCGCCCCAAGCCCCGCGGCTCCCCGAGAGCCGCGCGCCAACGGTCCTTCTTGCCTGGGGTCCTCCTGCGTTTCGCCGGTCTAAGGCGAAGTCGGGCGTGTCCCACCACAGGAGGCATGTCCAAAAAAATAGCGGAAAAACAGCCAGGGGACGATGTTTTGAAGATGTTTTGGCTAGTCGTGGGCATTTTTTGAGTATGCTTCATTTTTTCGCCCAGAGTCCCCCTGTAGGGGGACAGGCCCGATGTAAGTCTAAGGGTGGGCAGAGCTCCAGGGGTGGCCTCAACTGGTCTGAGGCGCCCCGTCCTCGGGGCCACGGCCCTCGGGACCCCACCTCTGAGGCCCACCGAGGGTGGGGCCGCACCGTGGCCGCAGCAGCAGGCGCTCAAGTCGCGAGCGCGGGCCGGAACGATGGCAGCTCGATGTGCAGCCAAGCCGTTGAAGTGAGGAGCAGTTTGGGTAAGAAGGGGGCTCGACATTCCTCGGGTCCTTCTGTGGCCTTTCCTCTAGCCTTCCTCGTGCACGCAGGCGTTGGTGGGGCCAAAAAGGGTCTTCGCTCCTTGTTTATCGTTCCCTCTTTCAGCAGCCCGAGTGAAGAAACATGCTCCGTTCTGCAAGGGGGAGCGGGGGCAGACGGGCACGACGGCAACGTGCGCAGCGTCGTGCGTGTTCACAGGTCTGCGTGCCTATCGGGGGGGGGGGGGCGGGCGGCAGCGTGCGTGGGCCTGGGCGCGCCTTCTTGTGGGCTGCCCGCCCTCCCTCCCTCGGGTCCATGGCGCGGCCGCGGCGCCCCGCGCACCCTCCCGAGCCGCTGGGTCTCAGAGATCCCCGAGGTATAAGACGAAGCCAGGGCGAGGAGAGTTTCGGGTGAGGACGAATCGACCATCTCTGAGATCTGGCGGCTCTGGAGGACGTGTCGGGCGTCGCGGCCTTCTCAGAGCGCTCCAGGGCGCCAGCCCCGGCCCGGCCCCGTGCCGGCACCCTTCTGGAACGGATATATATCCTCGTCCTGGCCCCGTACGACCTTTAGGCGAACAAGCGATGACAGCAACTTCAGAATTTGGAGGTCCGCGCGGATTTCTCGGATCGACGCTGGACCCCCTCCCTGGCGCGCAGAGCGCGCCAGGGGCGGCGCCAGAGGCGCCGTCAGCGCAGATCCGAGGAATCCGCGCGGACCTCCGAGTTTCATGTCTTTGCTAGCGTCCTGGTTGTCCGGCTTGCGGTGTCAGGTGCCGAGTGTGGCCCTGTTGCTCTCCATTGCAGGGCGAGCTCGTCGAGCCATCCTCGGTTTTGGAGGTCAGGCAGCCCCTGATGATTGTCACCTTATGTCTTTGTCACTGCTTCCTCCCCTATCTTGGTCCTGGTCCGGCTTCGTCTCGGTCCTGGCTCCGTCTTGCGCCACATGCCTCGCCGCGCCGCTCCCTCCGCCGCGATGCCTCGCGTCTTGGGGAGGGCGCCGCGGCCACCAGGGCAGACTCCGCCTCGGGCGCGGCAGGCTCACCGTGGGGCCTGCCGCGGTGCCGGCTGCGTCCGTCCGGGGCGCAGGGCGCAGGGCTCCCCGTGGGTTTGAGCCGCGGTGCCGGCGTCGTCCACTCGGGCGCGTCGAGCATAGACGGCGCGGCGACGCCGCCCCTGCCTCCGGCCGCTTTGCCCGGGCCCTCGCGCCGCCTCTGCCTCCAGGCGCCCCACCCCCCCGCCCAGGCGACCGCCCTGGGCGTTTTTCCCGTCCGCCATCCCTGGCGAGCTCCCCCCCCGCTCGCCTGACTCTGGCAGGCCCCCTGCTCCCTGACCCTCGACTCATAGCAGCGTCGACCCCCCGAGGTCTGGACCCCTTCCCCAGGACCGGTTTGGCATCCGGGGTCGTTTCTTGACGGTCACGGGGCTCGGTAAGGGTCCTTGGAGGTCGAAAACAGCGACAAAATCTCCCGTCGTGATTTTTTGATGTGTGGGACCCAAAAAACCCGGATAGCGGAGCGCCAGGAAGTCTGCCAACACCTCTCGAAGGAGCTCTGGAAGCTCTCGGAAGGAGCTTCCCAGGGAGCTCCCAGACAGCTTGACAGCACACGCATTGGGGAACAGTTAGAGAAGGCCTCCCGGGACACGCTGTGAACTCGCAGGAGCCGTATCGGGGTTTCCTGCTGGAAGCCAGAACGAGCTCCAGGGCTACCCTGCGGCACGGTGCCAGCTTCTAATCTGAACCCCTCTTACCCTGATATCCGACGTTGCGAGCCCTCCTGTAACATCGCGAGAGATCACGACCAGAGGCCTGGACCCAAGTTTTTCTGCGTCCTTTTTCGAGCTGGATCGATCTGCGAGTGTCCCAGGGCCCGAAGAAATGCGAAAGCGCTCGGCTCGCAAAAATTGAGACGCCAGGATCCCAGGTTTAGTTTTAGAAAGTCCAGGGTTCGCTAAGGACTGGCTTCCTTCCAAACAGTTGGTGCCCTCCCGAAACCCTCCGAAGACCCTCCTGGTGGGGTTCTGGGAGACTTTTCGGAGGGTCTCTGTAGGGTTTTGGAAGGGTTTGGTCGTTTGGGGGGAAAGCCAGGTCCCTAGCGTTAAGTTGGGCCTGTCCCCCTACAGGGGGATTTCCCCCAAACAATAAAAAAATAATCAAAAAATAGTCTGGGGACAATTTTTTGTATATTTTCTGGCCCTTTTGGGGTATTTCTTGGGGTATTCTTTATTTTTCGTCGAAAAGCCCTGTAGGGGGACAGGCCCGACTTAATTCTAAGGTTCGCTCTCAGAGAGCTGCCCGGGGACAGCGCGAATGGGGCCACGTGCTCTCTCGTCTTGCCTCCGCTTCTCCGTGAGCGAGAGCTCCTGCTGCCCTGTGCAATTCGGGAGGGAAAACAACACACAGACACAATTAATCGTCCATTCCGCAGAAAATATGGGAAAATATGGGAAGTGGGGGGGAAGACAAAAACCCAGAAACTATGGGAAAATATGGGGAGTCCTGCTATTTGTGTGCATCTATTTGTGTGTCCCAGGGCCCCTTCAGCAATGCAAGCACTTCTTGCTCTCGTGGCTCGTGGCTGCTGCTGCTGTGGCGGCCGACTCTGCTGACGCTTCTGAGGGGCAGCGACAGGGGGGGACTGGCACAGGGGGGGGTGCATCGATCCAGAATCGGCGATACATCGCCGATAGATCGGCGATGGGCCTCCGATAGTGGATCCGCACCTTCCTGGGCAGGTGGGGGCTATCTCGGGCTCCTATCGGCGATCAGTGGGCGATCGGGGGTCGATGCGTGCCCCCCCCATGCCCATTCCCCCCCTAATCGTTGCACCTGAGCTTTGGCCCCTGAGACCCAACAGCTCGCCTGCGAGAGAGGGGCCCGCGTGCCGGCGGACTCCCACCGCCCAGGGCCTCCGAGGATCCGGCGATCGCAGACGTGGATCAAGGGGGCGTGGATCAGCGACGGGCCCCGCTTCCATGGGGAACCGCTGATCCCCGCCGCCGAACGAGGCGGCACCGGCCGCACTTCGGTGAGGCGCCAAATCCATGGATCGTTAATCTTAAGCCGGGCATGCCCCTCTCTAAACAGGGGGAATATTCAAAGAAAGAGTCAGAAATAGTCCGGGGACGATTCTTAAGTAGTATTTCCTGATCATTTTTTGAATATTGTTTGGCTAATTCTTATCTTTGGCCCAAGTCCGCCTGTAGGAGGACATGCCCGACCTAGCGCTAATCCATGTCTGCGCGCACTCGATTCTCACCCCCGGCGAGCGGGGGTCGGCGGATTCATCGGGGCTTCTGAGCGGTCTCCCTCGGCAGTTCCCCCCTCTCCTCGGGAATGGAGGACTGCTTGATGTAAGTGCCAGTGCTGCCAGTGATGACGCCAGGGGCGGGTTCTCCGTTGCTCCTCCGGGCCGAGATCGCCGGGGCAGGCGCCAATGCCCCGTCGGGCAAGGCAGAGGCTCGTGAGCTGGATCTCGCTGTCGCTCCCGATGAGAGTGCTCCTCCTCCAAGGGGCGGCGCCAGCGAGGGGAGTCGACCGCGCGTCGCGCCTGCGCGACCCGCGAGGCTTAGGTTTAAGTCGGGCCTGTCCCCCCACAGGAGGAATATTCGAACATAGTCAAACAATAGTATGAGGACTTTTTTTTGTTGTGTATGTGTGTGGGTGTGTGTGTGTGTGTGTTTGTGTGTGTGTGTGTGTGTGTTTGTAAATATTTATATCTGTATATCTATACACACACATAACGGGGGACCGGGTCCAGAGGCTGGGGGCCGGGGCCCCGACCGCAAATGTGGGGCCCGGCGCGCCGGGAGCCCTGCCGGAGCGCCAGGGGCCGTCCAAGCTCCCCCGAAGATGGATTCGGAACGCTCGAAAACGCGCTCCGATGGCTCCGGATGCCTTTCAAGACGACTCCCATGACGCCAAGAAGGCCCCCGAAGGCCCCGAAGACGCTCCAAGAGGCACCCCGAGAGAGCCCCCAATAAGCAAACATCGTCGATTTCCGATGGGAAAACTGATGTTTTTGTCGTGTTCGCCTTTTGCGCTTCCACTGCGTCCAAGACGGCCCAAGAGGCACCCAAGCCGGTCGGGGATGCCCCCAAGAGGGCCCCAAGACGGCCCACGAGGGGGCCAAGACGGCCCACGAGGCGCCCAAGCCGCCCAAGAACGCCCCAAGGCGGCGCCCAAGACGGGGACGAGGAACCGGAAATTCGCGCCTTTTGGCCGAAGAGACCCCCAGGAGACCCCAAGAGGCTCCAAGAAGCGCCCAAGAAGCCCCAAGAGGCCCCCATGAGACCTTCCATAGCCATTTTGGCTCAAGTTTTCGGATCAGTGCCCTTTCCGCACGAGCTTGGTGCCAAGCTGCCAAGCCTATCCCCAATGATCGTGCCAGACTTATTTTGTATTGTCCACCAAGTGGAGCTTATTTGCATTGCGGCCTGCGCCGCTATGATGCTGGGGCGCCTGGCTTGGCAGTTGTGGACCGAGGGCGCCTCAAGGTCTTGCTTTCACGATTACTATGCTCGATTGCTCACGTTCTCTACAGTCGTCAGGACGGTCATTCTTGGGAAAGACGGCACTCAACAATCTGTTCACAAGCGCAAACAATCCATCAGGCTTGCCATGTCACGGAGAAGCTACCAGTTATTTTGTGTAGCAGTTGTCGGGATAGTTTACCCGATGTTTCTCTTCTCCGCAGATGACCGCCCGCATATCGTTCCCAGGCGCTTGCATTATGCGTTCTCTGGGGTGGTAGTTGTGTCAGTCAATGTGTGTCCTAGCTTGTTGACCCCATCACAACTTCATTTGTGGTATTGCCTTCTGTTACTCTCACATGCAATTTCTCTGTCACCGCTGTTGCAGTTCGCGGAATCGATCAGCCCCCTCAAATCTCATGTATTGTGTGATTGCTTAATGTACTGCATGATTGACTTCAGCCTTCCAGCGAATTTGTTTTGGACGACACTCTGCTATCTTTCCGCTGCGTCCACAGCGTTTGCTGGCAAGTCCAATGGCATGCCGTGCCACGACCCTAAAACCACAAATGACCTGTTTCTTGATTGGATACGTGTCGTTGTATCTTTGGTAATCTTGCACGTCGTGTTCTCAATGGTGGTCAGTACCCTCTTAGAGGGTCAAGCATGTCGGAGCGAGTTGCGCGCCGCAAAGTCGATCTTAGCAGGCGTTTGTGACGCCGTGGTCGAGCTCGATGCCAAGCTGATGCTCGTGTGGCCTTCCGGAAAGCTCGCGGCTTTGTTAATGCATAGCGAGCCTCGATCTTTGGCGGGAATGAGTATATCGTCCTTTCTTGCCACAAAGGCCGATCGCGAAACATTTGCCAAACAGGTAACCTCCAGTACTGCGTATGATGATTTCTGCACGGCTTTTCACGTCAAATTGCGGGACACTTGTGGCATCTCTGTGTCGGTGGAAGTTTTCTGCGTGCGCTGCAGTAGTGGTGATAAAAAGAAGTCGTACCTGGTCGGCTTTTAAGAATTTGCGGACCTGGCTCCACCAAGGAGGAGGACGCACCCGAGAGCGCCGACAATGCCTAGTGCTGAAATGAAGATGGATGTTCAGAGCTGGTGTGCGTCGCACGAGACTGCACACATGTATTTTGGCACCAATTCTGAAGGGGAGTCTGGCGCATCGTCTTCTATTTCCGAGGTTGCTGTTTGGGTCGACGGTTTGTCACCAGAGTTAACCATGTTACGTTGCACCACTGCCTTCGAGATGTTAGTTGGCAGCTCTTGGGCGCAAATCTGTGCCACCCAGAGTAATCTTCTGCAATGTTCTCGGCCAGACCAGCGAAATGACTTGAAGTTTTGGGTTCGTCGTGCCTGTGATAGACTCGAGCTGCCAGCTGTACACGGGGTGAGTTTCCGTTTCAGTAAGCAGCATCATCGTATGCGTTTCGCCATCGAGAACACGCTGAGAGTGTCCGTGGATCCGCCAGGCGGCGAGGACTGGACTGAGGGCCTGGACCGACCTTTGTGCGTGGTGAAGCTCGTTCTCGAGATGTCCAAGTGGATCCAGGATCAGCGTTGGACCAGGCGCGTCAGCGCGCCCGTGCGCTCTCACGCCCCTTTGTCAGCAGGCGTCCTCGAGTCGGATGGCGCTGGCGCGGCCGCGGCGGCGGCCCCGGAGGACGCCGGCAACATCCTGACCCCACCGCGACTCATCGACCAGGCGACACAGTCAGTGGTAACGAGCGGGCCGCGTCTCGAGGCCCCCGCCGGCGCTGGTGCGTCTCCGCCCGAGGCTGACAGCGCCCAGAGGTCAGACAGCAAGGGGAGCCGCGCGACTGGTGGCGGGTCGATCTCGCTCTGACTTGCAGTGTTGGCTGGGGAGTGGAGGACGGGGATATGGAGGAGGAAGAGAAGGAAGAAAAGGAGGACGAGGAGGAACAGAAACGGCAGATTTGGCCAATCTAGGGGGCCCGCCCGCCCTCACGCGAGCCTGAGAGCTTTTCTATAGAGGCGCCCGCGCCTCACCAGCCTGATTCCCCTTCCTTTCGTCTTTCTCCTCTCCCTCCGAGGCCAACTTCTCCTCCACCTCCCTGACTCTCTCCACATGGGCATTTCTCCGTTGATCTCCGCCCCGCGCTGCATGCACACTCTTGCACGGCCTGCGAGGCCTCCGACACCGCTCAGAAACATCAGGAACATACATGATCGTGTACACTTCTCCGATTCTTTTTGCGACGTTCGGGCCGCTAGCTTGGACGATGGTGATGCGAGTCGGAAGTTTCGATGCGATGCTTGCGGCGTGGCTTTGCACACCCACAAGCAGCTCGCACAGCACCGCCAGATCAATCACGGCTCCCTCAAAGATTTTCCGCTGCTGCGAGCGGCGCGTGCCCAGTCTGCAAGACTGTCTATAGGACTCGCCTTGCCCTGCTCGGCCACCTCTGCCATTCCCGTAGGCAGAGGTGCTGGGCGGAGATATGCCAGCATCCCAGCCAGTTTGCACAAATACCTGTTAAGGAGGTTGCAGTTCTTGACGCCGTCGACAACGAAGCTCGAAAGGGAGCCCGCCGTTGAGGCGAATTCATGTCAGCACTCCTTCCGTCAATCACCACTCAATGTAATATGAACCTCGGGGCGCTGTGCGGCAGCATTTGGTTGCCATTCAAGCCACAGCCTGCAGGCTGCTGCGTGGGTCCTCTCCCCCAGCATGTCTGTAGTCTGTTTTAAAGGTCTTCTGAGACTTCTGTGCACATGAGCGCCCACCCTTTACAGCATTCGTGAAGGCCGCTACGAGAGACCTTGTGCAAGACATGCCTCGGCTCCTCCGCATTCGAAGACCCTCTTTCCCAGTTTATCCTCTCTCCTCTCTTCTTCCTCCTTGCTGCTTTCTCCCGCCCCCCATCTTCCCTTTCCCGCGTCCCTCCGTTCCCCTTACGATGGCTCGCGAGACTCTTGAGAAGCCTTACGTGTGGAGTCGCTCTTTCCGTCGTCCGACCTAAGTGTCAGACCGTCGGTTCTTTCTATGTGCCCCGTGCTTCTCTGGACACTGCTGCGACTGAGGGCGGACAGCGCGACACGTGCATCGTGGAGCGAGGTTCCCTACTGTTTCAGTCGGGTATTGTCTGTCCAGAGCGGGTTATGCAGCCGCAATCGGACTTTTTTGGGCGGCTGAGGACCAACGTTTACAGCCCACATAAGCAAACATCGTCGATTTCCTCCGGGAAAACTGATGTTTTTGTCGTGTTCGCCTTTTGCGCTTCCACTGCGTCCAAGACGGCCCAAGAGGCACCCAAGCCGGTCGGGGATGCCCCCAAGATGGCCCCAAGACGGCCCGCGAGGGGGCCAAGAAGGCCCACGAGGCGCCCAAGCCGCCCAAGAACGCCTCAAGGCGGCGCCCAAGACGGGGACGAGGAACCGGAAATTCGCGCCTTTTGGCCGAGGAGACCCCCAGGAGACCCCAAGAGGCTCCAAGAAGCGCCCAAGAAGCTCCAAGAGGCCCCCATGAGACTTGAACAAACACCACAAGAGGCCCCGAAGACGCCCCAAGAGGCACCCCAATAGAGCCCCATATGAGCAAAAATCGTCGATTTCCTATGGGGAAGCTGATGTTTTTGACGTGTTCGCCTTTTGCGCTTCCACTGCGTCCAAGACGGCCCAAGAGACACCCAAGACGGTCGAGGATACCTCCAAGAGGGCCCCAGGAGCCCAAGAGGCCTTTCCTGGGAGCCTCCACAACGCCCCAAGAGGGCCCAAGACGCCTCCCAGGAGCCCCCAGAATGCGAAGGCATGGTCCAAGACGCTTCCAAGCAGCCCAAGTCAGCCTTCCGACGGCTCTCGAGGCTCCCAGGTGGCCTCCAAGAGACCCCAAGAGAGGTCCGAGAGGCGTCCTGGGACGGCCCGAAGAGGCCAAAACTGTCGATTTGCAATTGTTTTCCATGTTGTTGGCTTCTCGCGTTTTCGAGCTTCCAATGGTCCAAGAGCGCCGAAGAGGCTCCCAAGACTGCTCCAAGACCACCCAAGAGACCCTGAGGACGGCCCCAAGACGAGCCAAGAAGTCTCCAAGACTGCCGAAGAGGAGTCCAGGACAGCCCCAGACCACCCCAGAACAGGCCCAAAATGGGCCCAAGAGCGGGAGCATGAGGCTTCCAGAGACCTCCGAGAGGCCTCGGGGACCCCCCAGAGGCCCCCAACACACCCCCGATCCCTGAGAGGCCCCGAAACGACCCCGACGAGGCTCCAAGAACAGCCCAAGAGAGCTGCGAGAGCCGTCCCGAGAGAGTAAAATCGTTGATTTCCATGGTTGTTCTAATGTGTTTCGCCTTCTGACGTTTTCCCGCTTCGAACCCTCGAAGATCGAGGATCTGTTGGGAAAAAAAAGAAATTCCCAGAATTCCCTCTTTTTTTCAAAGTGGGACTCCGACTCAGAGATCCCACGCATCCCTTGACATCTGGCAGGCACCGCGCCTCCCGGCTTCCCGGGGGGCCCCCAAGACGCCCAAGGACAGCCCAAGACGACCCCACGGAGCCCCCAGAACGGCCCAACACGCTCCCGCGCAGCCCGAGACACCCTTCCGACGGCTGTCCAGGCCTCCAGGAGGCCTCCAGAACCCCCAGGGGGTCCAGAAGATGACACACCCCTGAGGGGCCCGGCTAACAAAACCCGCGAGGCACAAACAAAAAACAGTGCCGAACAGCGCCGAGGAACTGGACAAAAATGGAAATCCCACAATTCCTTCTTTTTTTAAAGTTGGCCCCCGGTCTACTCTTGCACAACACCACAATTCAGACCCCCTCACCTCAAAACAAAAAACAGGAAGCCTTTGAGGGCCCCAAATCGTTGAACACCTAAAAGGAAATTCTTGATTTCTGCGTTTCCGCACTTCCCCTTCTATACGATTCCGAGGCTTGCGCAGGGCCTCCAAGGGAGTCCCTGGACGCAAGAAGCGACCAAAATGAGATTGCATGAGTTGGCCGATCAAGCCTAGCTAGAATTTGAGCGCGCGCGAAGCGCGCGCGATGGTTCTAGCATGTGTGTGTGTGTGTGTGTGTGTGTGTGTGTGTTGGAGTATTTTTCCCAACCATCCTGTGATGTTGGGTCCTCGTTTTGAAGAGACGGTGCCCCGCGTTCCCTCCTTCCTCCTCTCCTCCTCCCCCTCACACGTTTCGTGGCCCTACACCGAAGGCCCCAGTGGCTGCGTTCGCATGCGCCCACCGCACCCATTTCGGCACACCCCTCACGCGTTTTGTAGCCCCATAGGGAGCTCCACCGAAGGCCCCAGTGTCTGCGTTAGCATGCGCCCGCCGCACCCATTTCCGCACACCCCAGAGGGATCGCCACCGAAGAAGATATGCACATCTGCGGTGCTCACAGTTGCATATGGTTGGGTCCTTCGCCAGGCTAGTTTTGGGGTATTTTGTATCCGTCGTGCAAAAAACCGCCTGTGGGGGGGACACGCCCGACCTGAGCTGAGGGGTGTCCTGGAAAGACCAGTGCGTCGGCCGTGGAAGACTGGCGGGGAGCGAGAGCAGAGGTGTCGGGGCGCGGGCACGGGGGCTGAGCGCCGACGGGGGACGGCCAACTCCCTCGAAGTCGGGCCTGTCTTTCGACAGGGGGAAAATTTTCAAGCATGCTCAAACCTTATCCCGGCAAAGCAACCTAACAAGCGATGTGTATAAGCAGATGTGTCAGCCTCAGCCTGCCTCAGCCTCAGCCTCAGCCTGCCTCGGCCTCAGACTGCATCAGCCTCAGCCTCAGCCTGCCTCAGCCGCAGCTTGCCTCAGCCTCAGCCACCGCCTCAGCCTCAGCCGCAGCCTGCCTCAGCCTCAGCCTCAGCCTCAGCCTGCCTCGGCTTGCCTCAGCCTCAGCCTCAGCCTGCCTCGGCCTCAGCCTCAGCCTCAGCCTGCCTCAGCCTCAGCATCAGCCTCTCAGCCTCAGCCTGCATCAGCCTCAGCCTCAGCCTCAGCCTGCCTCAGCCTCAGTCTCAGCCTGCCTCAGCCTCAGCCCTCAGCCTCAGCCTCGCCTCAGCCTCGGCCTCAGCCTCGCCTCAGCCTGCCTCAGCCTCAGCCTCAGCCTCAGCCTCAGCCTCAGCCAGCCTGCTTCAGCCTCAGCCTCAGTCTGCCTCAGCCTCGGCCTCAGCCTCAGCCTGCCTCAGCCTCAGGCCTGCCTCAGCCTCAGCCTCAGCCTCAGCCTGCCTCAGCCTCAGCCTGCCTCAGCCTGCCTCAGCCTCAGCCTGCATCAGCCTCAGCCTCAGTCTGCCTGCAGCCTCAGCCTCAGCCTGCGCCTCCTGCCTCAGCCTCAGCCTCAGCCTGCCTCCTCAGCCTCAGCCTGCCTCAGCCTCAGCCTCAGCCTGCCTCCTCAGCCTCAGCCTGCTTCAGCCTCAGCCTCAGTCTGCCTCTTGCCTCAGCCTCAGCCTCAGCCTGCCTCGGCCTCAGCCTCAGCCTGCATCAGCCTCAGCGTCAGCCTCTCAGCCTCAGCAGCCTCAGCCTGCCTCAGCCTGCAGCCTGCCTCAGCCTCAGCCTCAGCCTGCAGCCTCGGCCTCAGCCTCAGCCTGCAGCCTCAGCCTCAGCCTCAGCTCAGCAGCCTCAGCCTCAGCCTCAGCCTCAGCCTCAGCCTCAGCCTCAGCCTGCCTCAGCTTCAGCCTCAGCCTCAGCCTGCGGCTTGCCTCAGCCTCAGCCTCAGCCTGCCTCGGCCTCAGCCTCAGCCTCAGCCTCAGCCTGCAGCCTCAGCGTCAGCCTCTCAGCCTCAGCCTGCATCAGCCTCAGCCTCAGCCTCAGCCTGCCTCAGCCTCAGTCTCGGCCTGCCTCAGCCTCAGCCTGCCTCAGCCTCAGCCTTAGCATGCCTCGGCCTCAGCCTGCGTCAGC